TTCCTGTGTCTTTGAATTTGGTAGCTTTGGGCATGTTGGCTGTCTGGCTTACTGTTCCTGTTTTGGGAGGAATCTCCTTGAGCAGCCTGCTCTTTTTGGTTTTGGTTTTCGCTTTCCAAGACAGGGCCTATGTGTGCATCCCTGACTTTGCTGACCAGACTGGCCTCTAATGGTGCGTGATCTTTGCTTCCCTTCCCCAATGCTGAGGTTATAGGCACGTGCCCACACCCATAGGACAGATTACCCTTTAAGGCTCAATTCTTAGTACACTTGTCAAAGTGGCACATTTCCTATTGGTCTTTCGATGAGCTGGGCAGCTGACACAGGGTTTGGTTCACTTCTCTGCATGGTGCACCTTCCTTTTGTTCTCTGCCTGGTATTACTTCATTTCCTTCATGGATTACCAGTACACTCTGTATTTTTATCTTTGGGATAAGATCCCCTTTTTCTTATTCTGACTTTTTCCTACATTGTCTCACACAGAGGCAGCCTCTAGCCTGCCATCTGACCTAGAAGTTCAAGTCATAGTCATACAAGGGGATTTATTGTATTACCTTATACAACAGGTCCTGGGTAGGCCAGCAATATCCGCCTCATGCAAGAAAAGCAGAGAATGCACATGTGCTGGCTGCCTCAGTGGATCCAAATTTGGTACTCAAATCCCGGAGCTCCCTGGAGAGTGGCTGGTGTTAATTCCACACTGGACATCCAAAGAACCTGGGGCCTGGGGACATCATTAGCAGTAACTGACTCCTGCAGGACCATGAAGCGAAGGTGGCAGCTCATACTGCTTTCTTCCTGGACCCATGGGCTGCTCTTTGGAATGTGCTCCCCACTTTGAAGGCAGCTCTTCTCCCTCACATCCAGCCCCCAAGGTGTGTCTCTCAGCTGTTTCTAAATCCTGTCAAGTTGGCAGTCAAGATAAAATCTTCAAAAAAAAGTCACAAAGGGCATTCCCTCCCTCACAACAGAAACAAACCAACTCTTAAAAAAAAGGACAGATTAACTGTTTTACATTAAATGAACATAAAACAATCTGCAAAATGCAGCATATAACACCCAGTTTCACTGTAATTCTAACACAAGACTTTCACCAGGGATTTCCTTCCTGTCTGGGATCTTTTTTGTTAAGGCTTTTGTTTTCTTCTATGAGCCCCATTGTCCATTATCAGGCGCTATTCTGTCCATCTAGAGATCTCTTCTCCCTGCAGTAGCTTTTATTTTCTTTCCACTTTGAACCTTTCTTCAGGAAACAAAGGCCTTTGTAGGTTTCCCAACTGTTTTAAAAAGATAACTTTCCCACCCACCAGTCTCATTTCACTTGGTGAGATTACTGATCAGTACTACTAAATTTGGAACAGACATTACCCAAGGGATATTTTGCTTTTTGTCTTCTTTTTACTTTCCCTTCTCCACTAGTTTTTATAGTGTATGGAAATCCAGTATAAGAACCTAAAGTTAAAAATCTATGTAATTTAAAAATGAATTATGAATACCTTTTCATATAGGCATTTTATCAGCTTTTAAGTTGCCAGGTTATAGCTCTCCCCTAACCCCATGCTGGATGGCATTTGCAGGGAGAGTCTGGTTATTTATCTTGTCCTATTTGGGTAAACATCTTGTATCAGCTGCTCAAGAAAGGTGGTTCTTTTTGTAGCTAGCACCTGCAACTGAAGGGAAAGCCTCCAAGCTCTAGTCTTTTCTGTATCTTCTGATTCCAACACGTGGTGACTCAAACTCTAGATTGTCTTTCTCTTTTGTGATTGGCCACATCCAAATGACAGCTGTCTGTCACAGTCAGTAGTGCAGCTGCAGCAACTCATTCCCTGCAAAGCACCTGCCTGATGTTCTTCTCCTTTCTTAGGGTCCATTCTTCATTGAGTTTGCCTATGCTCAACTCTGAGCATTTAAATTCACTTAAAATAATCAGTTTGTTTAGGGAAGTCACTTCAAGAAAAGAGTAAAGCTGGCCACTCTGAGGGACATCCTTCCCTGTTGTCATGTGTACCTGAGCACATATGGCCCACGAGTAGAAACTATGTAGATTTCTTTTTGGAAGTATTCATTTGCCCATAACTGCACAGATGGGAAATAAAGACTCTGGAGGCTGTGGTGCAGCTGGAGTGTTGGGTAGGTTCCTGGTGTTTGTCCCAGATGCATCCGGAGAGAAGACTGCAAAAGTGAGGAGAACAAGGAGAAGCATGTGTGTGTGATCCCAGAACCAGGATGGTGGGTAGACTGAGGCTGGCCCATGCTGTGTTGCCAGTTCTAAGCCAGCATGGCTACATAGTCAGATCCCGTCTTAGAAAACAAACAACCAAACAACCAAACAAACAACCCAGGAGTGTTATTGTTGTGTGTATGTATGTGAAGCATATATGCCTATATATTTAAAAATGTAAAATTAGAAGTGACCGCCTAGTATCAGAAGGGAGAGTGCCTCCTTTTAAAGCCTTAGATACTTTGTATTTGTTGTGATTTGGAAGGTGGTTCTGTTTCAAACACATGTCAACTGAAGATTATAAAATTAGACACAGGCATTAAAGAGAAAAGCCAAACCCAGGAGGGAGTTGTTTAGTGGAGTAGAAAATAAGAGATTGTCCATAGAAGCTGTGTGTCTTGACTAGATAACAGAGAGCTGGTAATGGCCATCATTCTTGTTGGTAATTCCTAATTTTTTTTCAGTAGTACTGGCTTTCACTAAGTCTGTATTTTTTTTTTTTTCTGACTTCTAGTTCTAGGTATTGTATGACTCAGCCTACCTAGAATGGCTAGACACGGTGAGATTGTAGGAGAGAGGCTAAGCTGTTTCATTTTATTATTATCACCTGTGTGGAATGGTTTTCTTTCTTCATGGGATGGCATCACCTGAGATGTAATGACTTATGCAGCACCATAAACAGAGTGCAAGACCTTTCTGTCATCTCAGAGTTTGTATCACCAGCCTCTGCTGGTTTTCCCTCTTCCTTCCATCATTTTCTTTTCAAAAATCAATTAATCTTTATTTGTGTGCTTGCCTGTGTGAATTTATGTGTATCACATGTGTGCAAGAGCCCTTGGAGGCTGGAAGAGGACACTGAGTTCCCTGGAACTGGAGCTAAGATGCTTGTGAGTAACCCAATGTAGATGTTACTCAGGAATGGAGCCCAGGTCCTTTGCCGAAGCAACACATTCTCAACAAGTGGAGCTGGCCCTGCAGCCCTTCCCAGACTACTCACATTCAGCTTTTTATGTTTTCATCAGAGACTCTTGACTTCCGGGGTCACAAGCATCCATGGGTTTAACAAGAGAAATCTTTGAACAAGGAAGACTTCTCCATCTTATTTTCAAACTCTACAAATGACTGCATAGTCGAGGATCAGTAGTATATGGCTAAGAAGTATATATATGTATATATTTCAATATGATTTCTTCATGGACACTCTTGGTGGCTGTAGCACCCACCTACTGTGAGAGTGAACACTGCACATGACCCCAGGCAGGGTCCAGCATGCAAACATGCTCTTCCCTGGCCACCTGTGTCCCTGCTGCAGTCTATACTTGCTCTGAATTGTGTCTCTCAATTCATAAAACCTCCCTTGTCCCCTCATCTATGTTCTGTTTCCACAGCTCTTGCCCAAAAATGTTCAAAGGCTGCTTGTGTTTCATTGTGTCACTGAACTGGCCCTTTCTCTCGTACCGTCCTTAACCCCCCCTTTCTCTACCTTCCTCTGCTCCGTTGCTCTATTGAATTCCAAGTATGAAATTATTTGTGTCCCATGCTTTTCTCTTCTTGGATTATAAAGTCCTCAATGTAGAACAATACATTTATATTTCTTCTCACTGTACTTGTGCTGTTTCCAAAATGCTGTCTGATGTAAGCATAGCAGAAATATTTTAATGGACTTAATTATGAAATACCGGAGAAGCAAGTGCTGTTTTAACTAAACCAATGGTGGTGTTTTGTGTGTTGGGGTTAGTCAAAGGTCTGTGACATTTGGGCCCTTTCTTCCTTTTTCCTGTAAGGGACCCACAGCTAGGGCTGAATGATGTTGCAGAATCACAGGCCAGGCAGGGTCCTCTTGAGCTCAATGACTGTTTCTTTCCCGAGGAAAGACGATAACAGACGGAACTACTTGTATGACTATTTCCACTGAGTTTCCAGAGAAGCCCTCAAGTAGACTGACTTTTCTCTTTTGGTTTACTTTAATTTTGAGACAGTATCTGACTATATAGCTCTTGCTGTCCTGGAACTCACTCTGTAGACCTGGCTGGCCTTGAATTCACAGAAATCCGCCTGCCTCTGCCTCCCTGCTGAGACTGACTTTTCTTGTACCCATAGTGCAAGAGATTGTAGAATAACTTTATGACTTTATCTCTTCTCATAAAACTGTAACTTTACTGGGTCCTGACTTAGTGTCTTCATGGCAACCTGTTGAATGTATAGAGAAGTGTAGTAGTAGAATTGTCTCCATTGTGAGCAATAAACTCTGGCTCTTCTGGGAAATAGCCATGCTCCATTTTTTCCCCTTAATGTGATCCTGCCAATTTTGTTGATAAATGCTGCAGGCATTCTCTGTGAAAATACCCAAAGCACTTGTATATGAAAGAGAAATTAATCTGTTATGCATGCAGGTGGCAGTTTTCAGAATCACAAATGTGTGTGTGCACATGTGTGCATGTGTGCATGCTGTGTAAACCGCTTTTATCATTGGCTAGTTCATATAATGTTTATGATTTTTTTGAATTGTCTGCCAAGTAATTTTTTTGTTTTGTTTTGTTTGTTTAGCTTTTATTTTATCACTTGAGAAGTGTATTTGTTGATACAATTACTTTTCTTTTAAAATGTCACTCATTTAGAGAGTAAGGTCATTACATTGGTATTGTTTCTGTAACTCTGAATAAAGGAACTTTTAAATAAATTATTGTCGTCTGTGTTACTGAACATGTGGTCAGTTGTCATGTTCATACATCCTCATGATCAAAGCCTGAGCATCTGTCTCATTCTTCCCCGCTGTTAGGCTACCCTGTGATGATCAAGGCCTCAGCAGGTGGCGGTGGGAAAGGCATGCGCATCGCTTGGGATGACGAAGAGACCAGGTGAGAGAGAGGCTGCCTGAAATACACTTTTGATGAAAATTGCAGTTACCAGAGTTTTATTAAACTGACAGGTAAACAGATATCCACCGCATAGTGGAGTAATTACAGTGACCATCTAATCTTTACTTCTTGGATGGGAGAGAAAGTAGTGCTGTGTAGAAATTTTTCTTCTGTATGTTTTGAAGATAGTTATCCTATTACAGCAAGGTTTTCTATAACAAATGTTTTTCTTACATTGGTAAAGGGTTTTGTTTATGATGCATTTTTTTTTTTTAAATTAGAGTTCTGTTTTCTATGCAGAAATCACAAACACCTGGCCTTATTACTTACAGTTTGGTCTACGGGTTTGAACCAAGTTTATTTAAAAATCTCAGTGTGTAATTATTTTGATAATTTTTAGTGTGGAGGATACAGTTTTCCTTCTGAGTTTGAAATTGCTATATGTCTTTTATATATAATATATCATTTTGATATAAATTTGGAATATTTTGTAAAATGAATTTTGGAAGTCAGAAGTAATCTGTGTTATTTAATAAAGCTTTGATTTTTCCAAACACACAGTTGGTTAAATCTCTTCATGCATTTTCCCAGCAGTTAGGGCATCGTCCATCATAGCATTTCCCATCTAGATTACTTGAGTTTTGTGTTTTGGAAGTGGTTTGATAAGAACTTTGTTAAGGAGTTTCTGGAGGGCTGTCCTATCCAGGGAATCCCAAGTCTCCAATGGCTCAGAGAGCACAGCTGGGGCCCTGAGCTCTGGGGCCCTTTGTGTAAATAAACAGTGTTGTCAGGCATCTGGCCCTGAACTTCGCCATTGCCTGTAGACTTGGGCACTGTCTTTCTTGGCCTTTTTTTTTTTTTTTTTTTTTTTTTTTTTTTTTTTTTTTGTCATTCTCATTGAGGTAAATAAATTTCCAAGAATAGTAATGTACCAGTGACATGAGCATCTATCAGAATGGGACTGATTAATGCAGCCAAATCTAAAACCAAGAAAGGCTCAGTCACTAACTCACGTGTTTGCAAGCATGAGGGTCTGAATTGGGAGCCCCAGAGCTCATATTAAAAACAAAACAAACAAAACCCAAAAAATAAAAACAGTGAGAACAACAAAACAGGAATGATAGTTCAGACTGACAAGCCTAGAGCTGGAGAGGAGAGAGGGAAATGGTCAGTGTGGGCTACACGAGACTCTGTCTTGTAAAATCAGGAACGAATGAATAGTAGGAGTTGGATCAGAGTGGTCTTGGGTGGGGTAGAGCTGTATCGGGTAAGCTTTTGAGAGTTAGTCTGGAGGTTGTATCAGGGGACTGTAGTAGCAGCTCATTTATGAAGAACAGTCATTAGGAATGGTCATCCTTTTTGACCAAGTGTGTGGCTTTGAGAGGGTTGCATGTGGAGAGATGAGGGGGAGAGGGGACATTTGCTTACACCAGCCAGGTCAGCTGAGTTAACCCTGGTGATCAACAGGGTGACAGATATCACAGCCAGGTTTGCCTTTCATCCTATGTAGGCTCTTGTGAGCATTCTTTGTGATATCAGAAAGGATTGCAAGGGTTCACAGTAGAGAAATCCTGGAACTTCAACAGATCTTGGCACTATGCTTTTTAATTATAAAAATATTCAAAGACATGAAAAAACAATACGATGCCCTTCATGTATGTATCACCCCGGTTGGTCAGTAGTCAAGATTTTGGGTGGACTAGGGAGATGGATGGCCTAGTAGGAAAAAGTGCTTGTGGTGTAAACATGAAGAATGGAGTTCAAATCCCCACTGTTCTTGTAAAAACCCAGGTATGGTTGCATGTACCTGCCATATTAACAGTTTTTAGGGTGGAGACCAGAGGACTGCTTTGCCCCCCCAGCCATTAGCCTCATTCCAGATTCAGGGAGAGACCCTGTCACAAGGGAATAACAGAGATGATAAAACAGAACAGCCAGTGTCTTTCTCTGGCCTCCAGGCACATGACCACACTTGTGAACACACATCACACACACATATACACAGAATAAATGAGTTACCAGATTTTCTCATGTAGGTTTGGTAAAGCTCACTCTGGTAGTGCTCTTCTTGGACTGAAGGTAGACGGGCAGAATCATGATCCGGATGCAGGAAGCTAGTGAGAGGGTAGCTGGCTGCAGCAACGGAGCAGGAAAATGTGGCTGGTGGCTTCCATTTGTGTGACAGGATGGAGGTGGTGAGAAAGTGAAGTCAGGTGTGCATACCTGTGCTTATGACCCCAGTGCCTGGGAATCTGAGGACAGAGTGTCTACAAACTTGGGGTTGGCTGGGGATACATAATGAATCGGAGTCCAGCATGGGCTAGGAAGTGACACTCAGTCTCAAACAAACAAAACACAACAAGAGTTGCTAACTGATTGGATACAGAATGGAACTGTTTGAAGACACATAGGCACTGTTTTAAAGTTATTTTGTCATCGTTTATGTTTGGTTTTAGTGTTTATGTAAATTAAATGCACACCACACAAGTCTGCTTTGATTGAAAATTCTTGAGAAATTATGAAATAAAAAGGTCCCAGTGAGAAACTAGGAGTTAGAACAAGTGTGAGCTTCTGTCTTTAGAAGAATGGGCACTAAAGAGATGGCTCAGAGGCTAAGAACACTAGCTTCTGTTGCAGAGGATTTGGTTCCCAGCACCCACACAGTTAGACTAGTTATCTCAAATCCCTGTGCAAGTCTCGGCCTCCTTCTGACTCAGTCTCAGGAATCCCACAGTTCCTCCTACACTGTCATCTAGTGATTATCAGAGAGCCCAAGCTTCTGAACCCTAGCACAGGGTGTGACTGTGACTGCACTTCTTCCTGAGGAAGGGGCAAGGTAAGATAGTGCTGGAGACAGAAGTTCGGTTGGTTGCTGGTGTGAAACCCAGCACTTTGCATGAGTCGAGCTTCTGTTCCGAGCTCTAGGCCAGGCCAAAGATGTTCTTAACACAACTTTCCTTTAGCTCCAAAACAGACCTGTGATGTTCTCAAACTTTGTGTTTTATTTTGATGACTTTGATGTTTTACTTTTGATGTTCTTGGCTTAAAAGCAAAAAGAAAGATTTTTGTCATTACATTAGAGGCAAACTGTAAAGTGTTATGTTATTCTCTTTATGAATTATAATATCTGTCCCATCTAATAAAACTTTGGTCATATGGTACTGAAAACAACAATTCATTGTACTTCTAGTTTCTTTGAAGTGTGTAGTCTGCCCAAGTCTGAACATAATTTTCTTAAATCAAAGATACAATGGAAGACTAAGAAAACCTAAGACCTTTTCTCTGAGGTAGGAGAAATGGGAGAATTCCCCCAGGTTTGGAAATGCATCTTATAGTTGCCTTCTGTATTGTGCATTTCAAATACAGACACAAGCACATCAGATAATCATGTTTAACATTGCCAGATGCACTGTTTTCACACTAAAGGATTAGAAGAAACTGGGTTAAATGTTTTATATTCAACAAAAGTATTTAATATGAAGAAAGACTTGGTTAGAAGTAAAGGTAATTACATTTTATATTCCAAATATGTAAGTGAATAGACAAAAAATTTCAGTTACCTTTAGACAAGTTTGAAGTGTTTCTTCCTTTGAAATTGTTTGCACTTATTTTGTGTGTGTGTGTGTGTGTGTGTGTGTGTGTGTGTGTGTGAGAGTGTGCACATGCTATGGTGCATGTATGAGTCAGAGCACAATTGTGGGAATCTGTCCTGTGGGTACTAGGGATCAAACTCTGGTTATTAGACTTGGTGACAGGTACTCTTGCCAGTTGAGCCATCTCATTGAATCCTTAGTTTGAGCTTTACTTACTTATTTTGATTGATTGATCAATTGATTGATTAGTTGGTTGATTCATTGATTGAGATAGGGGCTAACTATGTTGCTCTGCTTAGCTCAGAATTCACTATGTAGACCAGGTTGGCCATGAACTCACAGAGATCTACCTGCCTTTGCCTCCTGAGTGCTGAGATTAAAGGTGTGTGCCACTATGCCTGTCTGAGTCAAGTTTGAGTGTTAATGAACTGGCCAAATAACCCCATTTTATATGTGTCTAGTAAGCCTATTTTAGTGAAGTAATAATGATTTAGATTAGTTTAGGAATAAAATAGAAAGCAATAATTAGATCCACACCCCCCCCCAACTTGTCCTTTTCTGTTTTAAACATTTTAAGCCATTTCAAAGAAGATGTAACTCTAATGACCTGTGTAGTGTTGGGGAGACAACTGTATTTCCAGACTGGAAGCACCCGAAGAGATGCAATTTACTTTTGTTCCCAGCACTTGTGTAACTGACAAGGCCCTTTCCACTTGTGTCTGTGTCTTCTAATTTCTAAACCAAATACACGTGTGTGTTTTTTAATACTGTTTTGCTAGTCTATTAAAAATTTTACTTTTATTTTATGAGTATTTTGCCTGCATGCATGTCTGTTCCCCACATTCATGCAATGCCTGTGGAAGGCAAAAAGAGGGTTTCTGATTTCTTGGAACCGGAGTTGTGAGCCATCATGTAGGTGATGAGAACGGAACCTGGGTCCTCACGAAGAGTGGCCATGTGCCCTTAGTTACTGAGGGGTCTGTCTCACCATGGAAAATTGGTGATGACAAGGACATGAAATAAGGATCCCAAGGTCACAAAACTGTAAGTGGAAGTTGCTGCTCAGGTTAGTTTAGATCTCTGTATGTATAGTGAGTCTGTTCCCAGTTTATTCTGAATTAAGACAAAGCAAATATTGTCTTCTGTGTGGAAGACTATCTTTGATTTACTAGTCTAATTGTTCTTTTTGTTCCACAGGGATGGTTTTAGATTTTCATCCCAGGAAGCTGCTTCTAGTTTTGGTGATGATAGACTACTGATAGAAAAATTTATTGATAACCCTCGTCATATAGAAATCCAGGTTTGTATTGTTCATGATACCTTCTAATGGTTGAGACTATGACTGTGTTAGAAAGCTAGAATGTTGTGGTCTAGATTGAAATGATACAGCAACCCACTCCCAAAACACAGCAGTCCAAACAGTCATAGTTCTAAGTCTGAATGTTTTATGTGTCTTTCATTGATCTTTTCCCCTAGATGTTTGGCCATTTGACGTTGTGATGTGTTAGCCACTTCATACTTTGATTTGCCACTTATTTGTTGTGCATGTAATACATACTGCATTGGTCTTAAACCAGGTATCTTTTCTAAATACCCTTAAAAGTTTGTGCCTTTAGATCTTGTTCTGACGATCTCAGAATTCAGGGTTGAAGAACAAGGCTCTGCTGCTAGGAGCCCACTTACACGACTTGATCTTTAGATGCCTCTGTTTCCTGAGAGATCATGGTTCCTTGAGGGCAGAGATGAGGTCTCAGCCCTTTGTCTTTCATAAATATTTCATTAACATTAAACAAATTTTGTTAGTTATCTAGTTACACATTTACATTAGCCTTTCAGTTTAATTACTTTTGACCTACCCTCTGGGTCATGTTTTTAAACATAGGTAAGTCTGTCCCCTAGTAGCTTAAGTGGGTAACCCAGATGTTTCCCCCAGTCTGATGATCTGTTATAGGTTCCTAGAAGCTATTCACTTTCCAGTTTCCATGAGCTCATTTGCATTAGACAGTTTATGTATATAGGGTTGTCTTAATAATTCTTTCTCCTGTGGGGACCAAACAGTGTCTGTCCACCCTGACTAATAAAGGTCCAGTGACAAACCAGAGTTGCTCCTGGGGAACCAATAGGCTTACTTATAGAGCATGAGTGAGGGGTTATGGGCAGGAGTGTGGGTGACCCTAAAGTAGCCACACTGAAAGGTCTTCATCTAGCATGGACAATAGCTTCCCAATGGCTGTGGAGAAATGACCCCCTTCTTTTTGTCTTTCCTAGCTGTACACTCTAGGGCCTCCCAAGATCCAAAGTCACACATAATTAGGGCAGAATTATATACAAGTGACTTGGAAGGATGGTCGGAATGTCAGGTGAAGGTCCAGGGGTTCCCTCTAGCCCTCCTATGAGGGGACATCTGCAGTGAACAGGCAGAGCAATGGAGACTCTTTCCAGCATTCATAGCTGGTCTTAAGAAGATGGCAGCAGTCTGGCTCAGAGGACAGTGCTGTTCTATAAGCTCAGTTCGCAGAAGTCAAGCCCACTTTTACCCTGTCTCCTGGTCCTCTGGGTTCTGCACTTAGATGACGTTACCCATTCTTGAGTTTTTCCACAGCCTGGGAAGTATATCTGTGCATGTCAGTCACCTGCTAATTTTTACATGAGCTGTCCCATCCAGTGTCCTTTCTCAGGTGTACACGATGTAAATAGCTCGATTTTTTTTTTATCCCCATGGCCATTGTTCTTAACCACTGGTGTTCCCCAGACTGGGTTCAGGGGTCCTCAAGGACATGTATTATCACAAGACCTCTTGAGGAACTAGCGGTATCCCATTCAGCACATGTGTCTATAAAGGGTCACAGTCGATGTCTGAAATAGCTTGCAAGGGTAAGGATCATCTTTCCCCTAAGTGTGTTTTTATTCACTTTCCCAGCATATCATTTCATGGTTTTTTTTAAAAATGCTTGATAAATTCTCCAAGCTTTTAATTTTGACATTATATGTATGGATGTTTTGCCAGCACATATGTCTGTGTGCATCTCTTGCATGCCAAATTCCTTACACTTTTGAGAGCAAACAAGGAGACTATATAGAATCACAGAAAACAAACACTTGATTCCGTATTTGAGTTTTTTTTTTTTTTTTTTTTTTTTTAACAGTTTGAAGGGCTTTTTGAGATCTTGGTTATTTTGGCTTTATTTCTTGGAGACTAAGTGTACTTTTACTTCCTTGCCAACTAGAGTTTAAATAAAGAGGATGAGAGTTATTTTGAGTAGTTAAAATATTTTTAGATGTACCTCATGCAGCTACCTTGGCATCTTAGCAGTAAAATGCCAATCTATTGGCATCTGATGACTCTAAAATTTCCCTGTATTACTTGAAATGATTTTCAAATTTAGAAAGGCTTTATTCCCTAAAAAAATGTTTCAGTCAACTATTCACTACTTATGTTATAGCTAGCCATGACTGTTGCAAGTATGATTTCTTTTCACCAGCCACATACAGCATTAAGATGCTGCTTCTCCTAGCTCTCTGCAACACACAGAGACAGAATAACAGGATGCTTTGCAGTGAGGCTGGATAGCTGCTTGGTGCTAAAATGAGTGACTCAGAGGTTCTAAAACAAGTCTGTGGAAATACGTGTTCAGAAATATTCGGACAACTCTGAATGGTTCATCTTTAGCTGAGTGTCATGTTTTCTCCAGTGGGCCCCTTTTGTTTCTTCTGATCACAAATGGAGAGTACCGTGGTGTGCTATGTACTATTGCCCGGCCATTTTTTTTCCTAGTTCCCTTTAACAGAATAAGCCATGGTAAAGCTATCCACATACAAATAAAAATGTATTGGTGATAGATCCATAAACTATCACTTCCCAACTAACAGACATTTGGTGAGAACAACAGGCAGGCTTGTGTAATGGTGTGTCATTATTCCATGGGGACCAGCAGGCATGGCCCCAGGCAGACTCATGTTTCCTTGCTTTCATAGTGGCTTCTGACCTTTCAGTCATTATTAAATGCTAAGATGTTTTTGCTAATAATATTGTATTCTAGAATTATAAGTATACTTTTCTTCAATTAATAGCAACCTGTTGTGTGATTTATTTATTTATTTATTTATTTATTTATTTATTTATTTATTTATTTTGAGGCAAAGTTTCTGTGTGCAACAGTCCTAGATATCCTGGGACTTGCTTTGTAGACCAGGCTGGCCTCGAACTCACAGAGATCTGCCTGCCTCTGCCTCCCTCTGTGATTAAAGGCGTGCGCTGTCACCACCTGGCCTAATGTGTGCTTTTAGAGCTGTATGTATTCTCTGAGGTTTGGATATTAAAAACCAAAAGAAGGGATGTGGTACACCCTCACGGGGGTTTTCTCAAGTGTTACTTACCATTCTCAGGTTTTAGCTGATAAACATGGCAATGCTCTGTGGCTTAATGAAAGGGAATGCTCGATCCAGAGGAGAAACCAGAAGGTGGTAGAAGAAGCTCCAAGGTAAGACTCATTCAGACAGCACCCATAAAACTATCTGTTTTTAAGCATTTTGTAGCTTAAATTTTTTATTTGCTAAAATTCCCTTAATATAAACATTGCTAATGGCTGTTTCTCTATTAATGATTCAGAATCTGTTACCTGACTCCCCCAGTACTTCAGTGCATAAAAATGAGAAAACACTTGGAAAAAAATAGGTTTTTATTAAAAGAGAGAATTGGATGGACAACAACTGTGGCTTGTTTAGGCTTCAGGGTTGTTCAGAGGCTGTCAGTGTTCTTGGAATGCCCAGAATAAATGTGCTTCTCATTTTAAAGAAATGATAATAAAGCTCTCGAAAATTCCTTGATTCTAAAGAGCTCCTCTCGTGGCTCCCAGCAGCTGCAGTAGGTTATGTGAGACAGTTTCAAGGAACTTCGTCTTCCAGCCGATGCTGGGTTGGTATTTGTGTATGTCTTGGTAATCTCTTTGTTCTTAAAATTCCCCAGTTAACATTGAATATAGTGGCAATCCTTGGGAGGCAGAGGCAGGTAGGTAGACCTTTGAATGTGAGGTCAGCCTGGTCTACATAGAAAGTTCTAGTCACCTAGAGCTACATAGTGAGGCCTTTGTCTCAAAAAAAAAAAAAAAAAAAAAAAAAAAAAAAAAAAAAAAAAAAAAAAAAAAAAAAAAAAAAAAAAAAACTACAGAAAGGAAAATGAAAAACATTCCCAGTTGAAGCTAAGCCTAGCGAAGAACGCCTACAACCTTAGCATCTCAGAGGCGGAGGCAGGAAGGTCACCATGAGTTCAAGGCCGGCCTGTGCTACATAGTGAGCACCAGCCCTGCCAAAGGTACATTGCAAGAACTTGTCCCAAAAATCAAAATCAGGCAACCCCCCCCACCCCCGCAAAAAAAAAAAACCTGAAAAGCAAAGCCCAGTTGAATGTGTGTAGTTGTTTTGAATTGCCAAGCGTTAAAATATATATTCAATTGTAACTTTAGGCTGCCAAGACAACATGCTTTAATATAATGTGTGTGGTCTCTCAAAAAATTATATGTGACTATGGGTAAATTTTAAATCACAGGGTAAAATTAATCCCTATTTTAGATTACATTAGTTAAAAATGTGGGTAGTATGGTGGTCTTAAAATATGGTACATTAATCCTTTGAGATTGCTGTCATTTAGTGTCGGAGGTCATCTACATCACCTCTCTTGATTCTGTGTCCTCTGACGGCTTTGCCAGTAGAATAGAGTACATAGGAATTGTGCTGTTACTAGGCAAGGTTTATGGTATTGGAAAGGATAAGACAAGAGAGTGCAAAATTGAATAGCTTAATCGCTGGTTGTTTTCCAGATATCTCTATGCCTATATTTATTAGGATACTGCCAAACTATATTTATAGTAAGAAACACACTTTAACACCTGAAGCCATCGAATAATCCCAATATCCGATACAGGGGAGAATAGAAAGTACATTTCCTAGTTACTTATAAGGTAGGCTCTGTCCCTCTGTCTATCCAAATGACTATTGAAGGCTTTAATCTATCAGTTTATATGGAATTGAAATATAACACTAGTGTTAAAAGACACCACAGGGTTCAGCCTTCATCTTAAGGAATGAGACAGGAAAGTACCCAAGTCTGGCTGAAAACTGAGTATGGAATGGCAGATTAAAAGCATCTTAAAATGGGGGGCTGGAGAGATGGCTCAGAGGTTAAGAGCACTGACTGCTCTTCCCAAGGTCCTGAGTTCAATTCCCAGCAACCACATGGTAGCTCACAACCATCCATTATGAGACCTGGTGCCCTCTTCTGGTGTGCAGATATACATGGAAGCAGAATGTTGTATACATAATCAATAAATAAAATCTTAAAAAAAAGCATCTTAAAATGTAAAAACAAACAAAAAATCAGCTAAATACAGTCTAGACCTTATTTGTATCTTGAGTCAAGGTAGTTGGAAATTTTGAAAACTGACTGAGGACTAATTGAACACTGACAGGCCGTTAAGGAGTTACAAAAAATTAGTTGCAAATGAAAACAGATGGGAGATTCTTCTGGTACATTAGTCCCTAGCTTCAAATTTACTTAAACAAACAACCCTAAGTTCCCCAGACAAACAAAAACCAGTGAGTCTGGCAGGAAAGTGACACAGGTAACACAGGTAAACCAAGAGTGGCTGTTTATAAATGGTTACATACTAAAGAAAGGTGCATACAAGTTCTGCATCCCATCCCATCCCATCATGAATATTGTATGTCTGACACATGTTATGCAAGGAGTGCATCCACCTGCAAATAGAAATGTGATTAATGTTGATTTCTCCAATCCTTTCTCATATAGAATCTGGTTAATTGGTATTCTCTCTCTCTATCTCAAAGATATGAATATGTGTATGATGTATATAGGTAGATATCTACATCACACACTACACACACACACACACACACACACACACAGACACACAGACACACACAGACACACACAGACACACACAGACACACAGACACACACACACACACACAGACACACACACACACACAGACACACACAGACAGACAGACAGACACACACAGACACACAGACACACACAGACACACACAGACACACACACAGACACACACACACACACACACACACACACACACACACACACACACACAATTTCCCTTCATTTAAACAAAGTTTATTGAAAACATTTTATCTTGACCTGCCTGTGAGACAGTGACAGGCATTAGAGGTTTATTTGATGCAGTTATGTTCTACAGAGGCATTGTGGACACTGAATTAGCAAATACCTGTAGTTGGAGGTTTGTCTCTGGCAAACCACTGGACTGGTTTCTCTCCTGCCCAGAGGTCTCTGCAGCCCGCTTTCTCATCCCACTCACCAACTAGTTCCTGAATAACCACTCTAAGGCTTACTATTAATTATAATTGATCAATGTGTCAGGCATATTACTAACTAGCTCTTACAATTAAATTAACCTGCATTTACTAATCTGTGTATCACCACATGACTGTGGCTTACTGGTGATGTTCTGGCATCTTACTTCTACCGAGGCTACATGGCTTCCCTCAACTCCAACTTTTTTTTTCCCCCCTCTATCTCTGTTTGGATTTCCTGCCTAGCTATATTCTGCCCTGTCATAGGTCAAAACAACTTTATTCATCAACCAATAAAAGCAACACATATTCACAGCATATAGAAGGACATCTTACATCAAATACCAAACTGTCTTTCCTAGGGGAAATACAGGTTTGGGCTCCTTCTAGCTTCAGGTCATAGCAGTTTAACACCTGGTCAGTGTAGACCCTTGTTTTCTGTATGTTCCAGTTGAAGAACTCCTTATTTAACAGTAATGCACGACTACAATACATTTCTTTCTAGGCTTATCTCACATGTAGGCTTTCTCCATAAGACGTTTCACAGCCATTATGCTCTTAAGAGCCCAGATAGCACCTAAGCATGGAGGTCAAGGGTCTCTCAAGCAGGGACTCTCTCCCCTCCTCTTTCTGTCTCTCCTTGGAGATGACAGTGATGAAATATAAGCCCTAGAATAAGAAGAGAGAGCATCATTTGTTTATCCTCAGCTTCTGTCAGTTTTCTTCTCTCTTTGTGCATAAAGGTGCTACAAATATGTATTTTTAAGGGTATATATGTTATAGCAAGTAGGCAAGTTTGCACATACAGAATCGATGAAGAATAAGGATTGTGTGTGTCAGTCTCTCTTAAGTTATTTCCATCTACTTTTAGCTTGAAGCAATTCCTGGTATATATGTTCAGTTTTACTAGGTAAAGATTATTGTGTATTTTAGAAATGAAGTTGTAGGGTAATGTGAAAAGATGATATGTTCCATAAAAACTTGATGTTGCATTGTGAAGCACGTCACACTGGTGAAGCATATCCCACAGGACACAGTGTGGGCCATGCGACATGACCAGCTCCTAAATTGATGCAGAAGGATCTATGCAACAGTTTTATGTAAGCTCATAAATGATCACCCCAGGCTTTGCAGCTGAGTGCTTTGTGCATTTGCAGCATTTTTCTGGATCACGAGACTCGCCGAGCAATGGGAGAGCAGGCTGTGGCTTTGGCTAAAGCTGTGCAGTATTCCTCTGCTGGAACTGTGGAATTTCTCGTAGACTCCCAGAAGAATTTTTACTTCTTGGAAATGAATACAAGACTCCAGGTAACAACACCTGTTTCTCTTCCTCTCCATGCTCTGTGCCCCTCCTTACTCATTCTTTTTCTTGTTTTGGTTCCTAATAAAATTTAAATACCAGTGCCATAAACTTAAATATTTTCTGTCTATAGTTTTGCTGAGGCATCTGCTAAGAAGGTTAAGCAGCCCACTGACTTAATTTAACATTTTTTTATGTATATAGGTGTTTGCCTGATGTGTTCTTGGATTTGTTTTGGATGTATTTTATTCAGTATTTTTGCATCAATATGAGAAAGATTGGTATGTAATTCTCTATCTTAGTGTGTTTTGAGGATCAGGGTAACTAGCCTCATAAAAAGAGTTTGACAATGGTCCTTCTGTTTCCATGGTGTGGAACAGTTTGAGGAGTATTGATATTAGCTTTTCTTTGAATTTCTGGTAGAATTCTGTGCTGAAACCATCTGGCCCTTGTTTTTTGTTTTGTTTTGTTTTGTTTTTGTTGGGAGGCTTTTCATGACTGTTTCTATTTCCATAGGGCCTACATGTCTATTTAATCTGTTTCTCTTGTCTTGATTTAACTTTGGTGTTTGGTACCTATCCAGAAAATTGTTGATTTCTTTTAGATTTTCCAGTTTTGTGGAGTACAGGTTTTTGAACCTGATGATTCTCTGGATTTCCTCAGTGTCTGTTCTTATGTTCCCCTTTTCATTTCTCATTTTTGTTAATTTGGATATTCTCTCTCTTTCTTTTGGTTAGTTTGGATACAGGTTTGTCTATCTTGTTGATTTTTTCTAAGAACCAACTCTTTGCCTTATTGATTCTTTGTTTTGTTTTGTTTTCTTTTATTTTATTGATTTCAGCCCTCAATTTGATTATTTCTAGCCATCTACTACTCCTGGGTGAGTTTTCTTCTTTTTGTTTTAGAGCTTTTAGTTGCTCTGTTAATTTGCTAGTGTGGGATTTCTCCAGATTTTTCATGTAGGTATTTTGTGCTATGAACTTTCCTCTAAGCACTTGTCGTTTTTCTTTTCTTTTTTCTGTTGCATGCTCATGTATGATAGTATTTTGTGGCACTAAGGGCACCAGTTGAAGGTGAGACTTCTTGGGCTTCTGAGGGGTACTGAGCCAGACCATCTGCAGTCCAGCATGGGGCTGGTTCTCTTGCACGTCATTCTAACCTTGAGGGTTTGCTCCTTTGTGCCCTCTATTCTGTGCCCTCTCTTGTCACCATTTTTCATTTTACGGCTGTAGTTTTCAATTGCCCAGTGCTACTAAAGGAAGAAACTACATCCCCAGTGTGACTTTGCACCTAGAGTGCACTTGCCCGCAGGACACAATGGCGCCCAATTTTATGCTTGTGTCTCTGCAAGCTTGCTGGTTGGATTTTTGGCTGATAATTCTTTCTTGTAGTCTTACTCTTTTATGTTGTTTTGTTTTGTTTTCAAGGCAACTTTTCTCTATGTAAAGGCTCTGGCTGGCCTGGAACTTGTTCTATAGACCAGGCTGGCATGGAACTCACAGAGATCCACCTGCTTCTGCCTTCTGAGTGCTGGCACTAAAGGTGTGTACCACCACTGCCCGGCCTCTTTGACGTTCTCCAGAACATCCTCTCTTGTTGCCCAGTCCCAGTAACCGTGAGTACAGGATCCAAGCTGATGGCTTTAAGCAGTCCATTATATACAGGTAACTGTGTGCGTTAGCTCACCCCTGCCCAGTCCTGTCCCATAAGGGCAGCCTGTGCCTCACCATCATGTGTCTTTTCCTTTCTAAATGACACATGATAATGCTCCCCTGAGGCTTAGAACCTCACCAGTCACAGGATGAGCCTTAGCTGCAAGGGACTTGGCATACACATCAAATACTAACTAGTCCCCTGGGTGTTATCACCAAAGTCTTAATCTTTGAGAGTTATATGAAAAAGTTACTGGTAGAGTAAAAATATGCCTGTCAATTAACAGATTGGTTTTTAGCAGAAGTGATGTATTTAGCTGTATTTTTCGGCCAATATCCTAAACATCTGTGTTTATTATTGACAGTAAGTAGTTGGGTACTCCCTTTGAAATTACATTTCTTAGCTCATAGTCTCTTCATGTGAATATCTTTACCATTTTGCCTTTTGGATATGAATTTGATTTTTTTATTAAAGTAATAGCTTTCTAATTAAGGGAATCTAATTAGACAATGAGCTAGGAAATCATGTTTTTTTATTAAGACAGGGGCTTCATTATGCTGTGATGGGAATAGTAGCTTGCAAAGGAATCAAGAAAGAAATTTGTGATGAGCGAGCATTTGTGCTTTTTTCTACAAAGACAGATTTTTGGGTTAAGTACATGTTGTCATCTATGAAATTAACAGCCAGTGTCTTTTCTAGGGAAATGTGTAACTGTGTCCCCTACTCCCTGAGACAAGGTCTTGCTATGTTGCCCTGGCTGGCCTTGAACTCCTGGTCTCTAATTATACTTTTGCCTTAGCCTCCCCAGTAGCCAGCTACATGTATTACCATGCCCAGCTCTTGTGATTTCCTTTGTTCTCTCATTTGTTTCTGGCTCATTTGTTTTAGCCCATTGTTTTTTAAAGCTTGTCCTACAGTCTTCTCCATCTGGCAGCTCTTTGCAGTTGGTTGAAATCATTGGAGTACCTCAGTGCCTGTCGACTTTTATCCTGGATAGCTTGCTAGGAAATTCTGTCACCTCAAACATTACAGAACAGCTTTGGGGGTCAGGGAGATGGGGGTTGGGGAGTCCAATTGGTAGAAAATTTCATCATGTTAGTTCTGACAGTGCTATTTAACATCACCATTGATAGAGTTCACTTCCATTTAATATTATTCACATTTCTTCTCTTAGATTCTCTTGCCATGACTGTGACCCTGCCAGTTAGTAAGAATAAATGAATTTTTGCCTTCTTAGAACGTGTTTGTGTGTAGGGGGATGTTTGATAGTAAACAGGTCTACTGCATGGGATCATGAAGAACAAATCTTGGACTTCTCACAGTATCAAGGAGGCCTTTCTTGCATGTCCCCCTTATGCTTGTGCAATAGGCCTGGAACTTATAGATAACGATGCCTTCAAACTCGCTGTGATCTTCCTGCCCCTGCCTCATGAATGCTGAGAGATTATACTGTGTGTGCCACCATGCCTGCTTTCTGATATCGTTTAAAATGTTCTTTTTCTAAATAGAAACTTTTCTTCTCTTCTTAATAAATTTACTTTTGTTATTTTTAAGTGTGCGTGAGTGCGTGCGTGTGTGCGTGCGTGCGTGCGTGCGTGCGTGCGTGTGTGTGTGTGTGTGTGTGTGTGTGTGTGTGTGTGTGTGTGTGTGTGCTTATAGAGGTCAAAGGTATGGCACCCCTCTGAGTTGAAGTTACAGGTGGTTGTGAGCCACTTCATGTGCTGGGAATTGAACTCCAGGAGCAGGAAATGTTCTTACCCTCTTATGTTTCTTTTTTTAAACAGTTTATTTCATCTTTCAAATTTCTTTTCTAAGCTGAGATCCTAATGCTTAAAGCGCACACCAAATTCTGTAGATCCTGCAATCTGTTCTATCTTTAATTAATGTATCAGCTTGAGCAATGAAGGCTGTAATTTGCTTTGTTCCTTCTTCTTGAAATTTCTTGATGAGCTGGTCACTTTCCCAGCTTCAAGCCACATGTGTTTTCTGGTAACAGAAATGTGAGCAGCATCTTCACTTGGTGCATGTGACAAACTTTGTTTTTCTAGAGGTACCGCCGAGAGTCACCAAGTTGAGGCGTGGATGCTCATGTTTGCTTTATTCTCAAGATGGTCAACTGACGGTGGAGTACCCTGTGCATCCTTAGGTTCTTTTACACTGAGCTTGTATTTCACATTCTAGAATGGTTTGTATAATTTCCTCGCTCTCTTTCTCCCCCTCCCTTAACCCTCCATTCTCCCAGTGGTTGAGGAGGGCAGATATGCCCATAACTCTTGCATATGGCCTGAATTTAATACGTTGCAGGTTCCCATTGTGTGGTACCAGCTCCTCTGCCTGTGCACCCTTCCAGCCCTTGCTTCATGGGGTGGCGTCTGGGCTCTGATGCTCTCTGTGAGCAGGTGGCTGGCTCTTCCTCACCAGGGTCAGAAGCCACCTGATTCCCAGGATAGGCATAAAAGCCTCAGACACCATTTGCAGGTATCTCCCCTTCATCTGTTGCCTGTCTTCTTGACTTGTATGTTATTTTCTGAAAAAGGTTTTATTTCTAAAAGGTTAAGTTTTAAAATCTTCTCTACCACGTAATTTGTGCCATTGTGACAGTATTGGATTTTCCCTATTCTATGGTAAACCAAAATTTCACCCCCATGTTTTCTTTTAGAACACATTTTATATTTCACAATGGAATCTCTCTGTCTGGAATAAATTTTATTATATTTATTTAAGACACTCAATTGATTTAACTATATCATGTATCTGTTACTTTAGAGCACCTTTCTGCTATTTGGGTGCTAGTGCTGCAATGTCTTAGATATTATGTCATATCTTTTTTTTTGCAGTAAAGCTTTTATTTCTTTTTTATATGTATACTAACCCCAATTCCCCCTCTCTCCCTTCCTTCTGCTCCCCCCACCTTCCCCTCACTCCACCCTCCATTTGCTCCTCAGAGAGGGTAAAGGTGAGTTAATACAGTCTGTCCATCACCAAGTTGAGGCAGGACCAAGGCCCTCTCTCCTCTGTCTAGGCAGATCAAGTTATCTCTCCAAAGGAAATGGGCTCCCAAAAGCCAGTTCATGCATTAGGTATAGATCTTGGTCCCACTGACTGCACAAGCCACCCATTGTCACCTGCATTCAGGGGTCTTAGTTTGGTCCCATGCAGGTTCCCCAGCTGTCACTCCAGAGTCCGTGAGCTCCCACTAGCTCAGATCAGCTGTTTCTGCAGGTTTCCCCAGCATGGTCTTGACTCCTTTGCTAATATTTCTTTTCCCTCCCTATGACTGGACTCTAGGAGTTCGGCTCAGTGGTTAGTTGTGGATCTCTGCATCTGCTTCCATCAGTTACTGGATGAAGGTTCT